TCTCTTTTATCTTTTTTTTAATCTATTTTTATCTTTTATTTATTCTTTCAAATGAATCAAACCTCTAATAGAGTTTAATTTACCTTCTGTTGTTTAAAGTCTACAAATTATGAATTTTATATAGTAGTATAGTTAATTTTTACTTGTATTGAGAATTTAAGTTTGAGTTATTAATACTTAAGAGTCAAAGTTTAAGGTATAATCTAAAGATTTCAAAAGTTTTATTAAAAAAGAAAATGCATGAAACTACTAGAATTTGGAAGATAATAGAAAATATTTTAAAGCATATATAAAAAATTGTAATTACGAAATTTTAGGGCGAGCGAAATTATTAGAAAAAAAAAATTTTCAGCAGCCGAAAGTTAAAAGGGGACAACTGCCCCTGGGCCTCAAGTGGCTCCGTTACTACTTGTAATTAAAGGGAGAAAGAGAGAAATAAGCCAAGACTTGAGATGAATTAAAATTAATAGGCCAATAGTTTACATAAGTTAATAAATAGGCCAAATTAATGTTTTTGTCCATAACGTGTCTGGTTATGAACCATAACTTGACAAGTTATTGTCCATAATTCACAGTTTTTATTCATAACTTGTCTGGCTATGAACCATAACTTGAAAAATTTATCCATAACTTATCTGGTTATAAGCCATAACTTGACAAATTATGGCCTATTAATGTCTATAACTAAAAATTGACCTATATACTTTCTTAAACTTTTTGTATCGATATATTTTCTACTATTTCCGGTAATTAAACAATATATATAGAAGTCGATGACCATATCGATGTTGCTTCTATGAAGCTTCTGAACTAACTAGCTAATGCATATGGATTAGCACCCGATCGACCCCATATTCTATCTTAGCTAAAAGGTGCATGAGAAATATGAGAAGACTTTTTCTTTTTTTGTCCGTTTCCATCTTCACTTTTGGACCTGAGTCGACTCAATTATCAGAAAAAATAGAGGAACATTTGACCTGCACGCATGCAGTTCTTTTCATATAAAGGTCCTTGACCCTTCCCTCTCCTCCTTAATTTAATAATGCAAATTGTCTCAAACTTAGAAGATGTTTGGTAGAGGGATTCGTTCCCTGATTCAAATAATGATTCATAGTTCGCTACAGTATTTTCTCTTACAAAAAACACACATAAATCAAAAATAATTCAAATCACATAGTTTAAATCCTCCAACCAAACGTCCTCTTAGTTTTGAATGCGGATTTTGATTGTCAAGTTGCTTAGCGAGTGTCGACCTAATTAAAATATGTTAAGTTTCTCTGATTTCAATTACTCTCGCCCTTTTGTAAAATAAAAAGAAAGAATGAAAGATCGGCAACTGAAAAACTTGAGGACAAATTAACAAGCAAAAGAAGATCATGAGATATGTGCATTACATATATAGATTTATCATCATGATTACCAAGGAAGGGACAACTTGATATGATGTGATGTGTTATATACAATGGAACTAAACACAAATATATATATATATATATATATATATTGACGAGGAAAATTATTCAAAAGTTGATATGTATACATTATACAGAAAAAGTTTGGTACAGTGTAACAGTAACAGTAGTATGTGCTGCTAGGATTCAGAAAAGGTGTAGTGATTAATAGTAAGGTTATCAAGGGAAGGGGGTTGTGTCTGTCTGGAATCTGGGGACCATTTATTGGGCAAACAGTGTCAGTCTCTCTCTCTGATCTCTCTCTCTCTCTGTCACAGATCAACAGTGTATGTTGTGTGAACCTCACTGTGCCGATGATCTTGAGATGCCCGCCACTGTTTGTTTAGAGAATTAGAGTTGTCTTGGACGACACAGCAGATAAGAACCATAAACTTTTCTCTTCCATCTTTTTATTAACCAGCTGCAAATTAAAGCACTCTCTCTCTCTCTCTCTCTCTCTCTCTAGATCAAAAAGATGCTTGAAACAACATTAATTTGATCAAGAACACTAGAAGAGCTTCTGATATACTTGCATGAAATATCTAGTACCACTCCATTGTCTATTTTCGGTCGTAAAAAAGCTAGTAATATAGTAGTGATAAATCCGTGGCCAATTGGCCTAAACTTTTTTTTTCCCCCCTTAAAATTAAGTCCTTTTTTTCTTTTTTCTCTCCTTTTTTAAGTACTAATATTGCTGTTTTCAATAATATAAAACAAGATCGATCGTTTGTTGAAAACTATTGATAATTACATAAGAGAGTAATAGTTAACTTTCTTTTTTTGGTTGGGGTCATCTATTAATTAATGGGTAGCCTTTTCTGAAACTTTTATGAGTGTTATTAATTCAGTTTAATTTACTTTGCTTCATTGGAGCCAAAAAGGCCTGTTATCGTTGTTTTTAATTTATTGTCTTCAACAGCAACGTATTAGCTAATTTGGAGATGATAAGGTTTTCAGCGGCGTTTATGTTCAACTAATTCTTTTTTATATTTCTATCTGATAATACTGCATGTGCAGGCACAGCAGACCTAATTAGTATTAATATATATATACATATATTAGATTTTTTCTAGCTGTCTTTTAGTTTTCTTTCTCCAAAAAAGGGCAAAGATAGAAGGTTTTCTGGATGTTATTCACCTTTTTCCTGCGGTAATTATTGGCATCATACTAGATTTCACTTCTAGTCAATCAAAGTTTTCCCTGTTGATTTGCGTGCTAATTAATTATATGTTCCATGAAAAACGGCAAATTAATTACCTGTAGAGGTTTATTTAAAATTAATGGGAAATGTCTCTTATTATAGTACCTCTCACAAATCATATGCATAAGCTAACTAAGACCTCGTTCATTTCATAAGTTCAAATCACAACTTAAGTTTTTATTACAGTTTTCTCTCACAAAAATTTACTCATGTAATTTACTTTTTAATTCGAATCAATGAAACAAATGAAGCCAAGCCTATGACAAACGAATAAGCTGTTATGTATCCGCACATGCACATATAAATATACCTCTCTTTCTCTCTTTGGTTATATATATATATATAATAATAATAAATGTACAATTGGTTATGGCATACTCATAGATAATGAGAAGCGTGACATAATTGTATTTATTTAACCTAATCTTAACGTTGAAAAGATATAATAATATTATAGTGTATAGATAACTAAATTTTTTGGTGTTGCACCTTTCAATGTTAGTATGACAAATAGTCGCGTTATAATTCTCACTTTAATTTATATTCTTATAGTAGAAGTATAGTACTTTGGGAGACCATAATAATGGTATATAAGAAAATGCTCTTCAGCTTGCGAACTTAAATTCTTAAGATGTGTGTGTGTGGCTAAAATATCGAGCTTGAATTCAATATTTACCCTATATATCCGTTCGAGTAGTACAGGCACAAGTACCGTGCCATTTTTCCACTACCACATATAGTCTAAGTATTACCTAGCTAGTTTTGGAAGTTCTTGCTTGTTTCTGAAGGTCAGCAACACACCAACAAGATAATATAAGGAAACAGCTTTTTGATGAATGCAAGTGTATATCTTGTCAGACATAAAGCAAATAATTAAGCAGCACCAAGAATACACTGCAATATAGCTAGCTAGGGCTTTGATTCTATAGCAAACAGTACACGTCTCATTAATCAACAGAGCTGACCCTAATTAAGGCATGAAGAAATTATAAGACTATAGTACAAGCACATATTTAATATTATTGGGTATCTTTTTATTTTTTATTTTTTTTCCTTTCTTTTTCAAAGATGAGAAAGAAAGAAAGAAAGAAAGAAAGAAATTGAATTGGTATACGGCTGTGGTCTCCATCTTCGACTGGTTTTTAATGACTGGGGTTTTGAAAATAGTGATTCCCATTACGACTCTGATCAGCTGTTAGGTATTTGAAGTCTAAATTTGCTGCATGCATATTTCTCTGAGGGAAAGTTGTGTGGTCCTCTTCCTACTCAGTGGGTATTTTAAAGGGTAAAAATACATATATTGGTCCCTCATCTATAAGGTAGCTTTTTCATTATCTGAAGTAGCTATCAGACACATCAACATGACTTCGCTCTTAAGTATACACCACAACTTTTCCAACCCCATGAAATAGACTTATCTTAGTGAATTTCTTGTCTCTACATCCTATGTAAAAAAATAAAATAAAAATAAAAGTTTGTTTCTTACCGGGCGGTCTGTTTATTAATAATAAGAGGCCGTTTGCTTCATAAACTCAAATTCAAATTATTCATTCTACTACAGTGTTTTCCTCTTAAAATAATAAATTTGAATTTCAAACGTCGGAATCAAGAATCACAGTTTGAGTATATCTTCCAAACGGACCCTACGTAATTGGGATCCGAGTTATTTGTTTAAACTGATGAAGGAATTTTCTTTTGAAAAAATCATGATGACTTCCATATATATACCATACAAGGTTATGTGACAAATGTTAACTTTTAACTTATGGTGTATATTTTTTCCATTTTAGTGATACCATTACAAGAGATAAAACTGGAGAAACCACGAGGGTGTTGTATATATTAATGCAAAATTTGCAGCTATGCAGGCTTTGTTCACATGTGCAAGAACATGAATAATCGTCTTTGCCTTTGGTACTAGCTAGGCGTGCATTCATCGACCCATGTGATAAGGATTCAGTCGCTAAACCTTTTTGTAATTGTCGATAAAGCATGGCTCGCCACTTTTCAAATCGTGCACTAGTATTTATTTTTATATATGGTCCCCAATTGAGATTATAACCATGTAGAAGAAGAATACTTTTAATTAACATGCTTAGGTTTCCCTAATGTTGCTTTTAACTAGACTAAAATAGATAAGCTAATAATTAGCATCATCAACATTATTAATCCTTGATTATATATGTGTAAACGCAGTCAACGATTGATTATTTTACACGATATGAAATTAATGACAGCACATTCGTTTGAAGGGATGATAGTGAGAGATGTGCCACGTGGCAGGTTATACACCATTGCTTTATCTTTTCCATGGAGAGCATGGTCGGTTGAATTCCGGCATCTTCCTTTTCTAAACCATGCTCGCTTCTTCAACCAGTTTAATATTCTCCAGAAATATGTTGGTCCAAGAATCTAAACTTTTGAGCCCTATTATACTCAGCTCAAGCGATTGAGTGAATTAGTACCGAATTTAGAAGTTATATATGGACGCCGATCGATATCGGTGTAAAACCCCTACTGTTCTCCGAAGTCCATAATCAAAGTACACCAATTAAACTGCACTTCTACCTGTTGAGAAATCGTTTGTGTAAGTTATTATTATTATTATTTTGATTTTTGGTTTGATGTATTGCTTCTTTAAATCAGTATCGCCATGATATATTTACCTAACAAGAAATTCTTTCTTCTTTCTTCTCCTTCTCCTTCTCACTCGGCGAAAAAAATATCAATCACTGGTCTAAGTTCCGCATCATTTGTGATCAATATATGGTTTTCTTTTACCTAATGACTATTTTTTCAGTATATTTTAACAGTATATCATGTAGCCCTTCAATTAATCTAGCTCATATTCATCAATATCTCTTGCTACCTGATGTGAATTCTTGGTGTGTAGTTTTCCCAACTACTTAGACATGATCTCTTATACATTAATCGATATACATACATATATATATATATGCTTCTAATTTCTTTCGAACTCTATATATATGGAACTTTGCACATGAAATTGTCATGTTTGTACTTTCCCCTAATTATAACACTAAGGCAAACGATTTTTTCTTTGATTAATTTAGTGGAAAGGAAGACCAAATTAACCTTCTTTGATCTAACTCTTCTTCGTTTATGTCCTTCTCCTCTCTGTCTTTCATGGATCGGTGGTGATGAATAAACAGACGGTACCAGGAGATTGATTAGATGAAGCATCATGAACTGAAGCAGCTTATAATTGGAGAAGATAGTTAAAGGAATATGAAGGAACTACAAGATTGATCTTACTTGTCACTTACCACACGTATATATGAAATGATGAGAGCAAGGCACAAGATAATATGATTAATAACTCCAAAGAAACTGAATTTCCTCCGAGAGAGGAAGGCAATTCAAGTCATGAGATTGGAAAGGTCAATAGTAGTACTAAGGTTTCATCAAGTGCGGCCACAAGTGCAAATCCAACGCCATGGTTAAGGTTGAAGGATCCGAGGATTGTTCGCGTGTCGCGCGTTTTCGGAGGTAAGGACAGGCATAGCAAAGTGTGCACCATAAGAGGGTTGAGAGACAGGCGGGTGAGGCTGTCAGTTCCCACAGCTATCCAATTGTATGATCTTCAAGATAGGCTAGGCCTTAATCAACCGAGCAAAGTCGTGGATTGGTTGCTCAACGCCGCTAAGCACGAAATCGATGAACTCCCTCCGCTTCCAATGCCACTTGCTGGGAACTTCTCGCTGTTGACGCCTCGCGAAGCGAATGCTGCTACTACTGCAAGCCAAGCGAATGAAGATCAAGGGTTCCTCAAGAACAATAACAATAACATGAGTGCTATTGAATGGGAATTAGGTTCAACAAGCAGACAAAATTTTTGGACTAACACCACTACTAGTACTAGTACTTCATCAGATGCTCTTTGGAAGGCAAGATCAAAAGAAGTTGCAAGAGAAACGGCTAATAATAGTACTACTAGGAGTGAAGTTGAGAAAGAAGAGGGAAATCACGAAGGAAGCAATAATCTCACACAAAGAACAACCAATAATCATCCTTTTTTCCCAGGTATGTTGAACAACATTGCCCATATGCCACATGGTGTTAGTTATCGTTGGGAGCCTCCAAATTATCCGCTATTGTCGCATTTCGGAGGCGCCGGCCATGGATTAAACATCACATCCCAATCAGATCAGCATCTTCAAAGCTTGAACGTTATGTCTCTACAACCATCCACATTGTCTCTATCAACCGGCTCTCCATATACTACTACTACGCAAACTTATTTTCCTTCACACAGTGCTGCAGCTTCTGGCGTGGAGTTAGTTGATTCTAGACAAGTGAACCATTTTCACATGTTGAGCTCAAATGTAGTACAAAACCTCTTGCCAAACACAATAAGACCATTCCATTTTGGTGCGAATAATTCTAAGCTTGTCTGTTATCCTCCGAACGACAATGGAAGTGATCAGCAAAAATAAGGAACAAGAGTAGTATAATGTAAGGGCCAAGTTATTATATCTTCTGAATGATACTTGAGGCCCGTACAAAGGACATTACAAAGTAGCCCCTCTTTTCATGAAATAAAAAGCCTGACTGATCATCAGCTGATCTCTTTTTAACAACGAGAGATCAGAGGAAAAGGTACATAATTAGAAGGCACATTCTGCTAAAACTCAGGCCAGTGTGCATGCAGACAAATCTTCGTCTCAGTTATGATTATATTTTTCTTTTCTTTTCTTTTTTGTTTTGTTGGTTGTGGGATGTTAATTATCAATATTTCCTAAATATTAATTGATTTTTCTCTCTTTTGTAGTGTTGATTGAGTGTCGTGAATTTGAGTTAATGAAAATCTAGGCGAATTTCGAAAGCATTTTGGTCGCTGTGCAAAGTGAATAGTTTGATACTGTTTTGGAAAGTCATGCATATATGTCTAATAATTATATCCGAGATGAACACTACTAATTCGCACCTATTCTCTGAACTTTTTCCAGTTTTGCATTTGCTTGATCAGAACTATCGTGTTAGGTACTATTTACCACCTTATAGTAGTTGCTTACTATGATCTATTGGAAATATTATTAAACACAAATTTGATAACGGATTCTAGTTTCTTTCAAGTTAAACTCATGTGAAGCATAATTCATGTATTTGGTGTTAAGGCATAATCACGTTGTATTTAGTGTTTATTGATTGGCATTTAGCACAAATTTGATAACAGGCGTTGCTTGTTTCCTTCAAATTAAGCTCACGTGAAACGCGTGTAATTGGTGTTAAGGGGTAGTATTAGGGAAGAGCAATATGTTGAGTTCCGCGTTCTAGAGATTTTCGAACCACAACCAAATCTACCAAAATCTGCAAATAGCTTCACTTGCAAAACCTTGGCCCTCTTCGACATGTTGGAACATAGGCAACAGAAATAGCTTTTCTTTCCTTAAGAGTACCCCTTAACAATATCTGTCACGTGAGTTTAATTTGATAGAAACTCTTCATGAATATGTCTTCTTTTTTTTTTTTTTTTTTGTTCTAGCTCTTATGTGGTTATGTTTTAGTTTTGTTAGATGTTTTAGTACATCTCAACCTAGTTGGCATGTCAAAAAAAAATACAGATATAAAAGTTCATAGTGAAATTAGCAGGCCACAAATACCTACACACACATTTAAAAAAAAAAAAAAAAAAACAGAAAAAACAAAAGAACTGAAGACTAGCATAGCTTCCCAGAGAAAGTATTACTCTTGTCAATATTGGCAAGAATATCTTTAAAACCCCAGATGGAAAAACCCAAAAAAGTAAAAAAAAACACGCATGATCCCCCAGAAAACACGAAGCAAAGAACTTTGAAGAGCAAGCTTAATTTCTGTAACATAAATTTCGCCAGTTGAAAATTTATTTCAGAATGGTTAGAAATAGACCTGCACAAAACTACAAGGCTGTGTACATGTAGAGATACTCTAAATTCAATCTCGATAGCTTAAGTAGTCTCTTTCCAAGATAATCTAATCTTCCACGGCAAGGTTCCATTTTCTCCCCCAAGCAATGTTGACTACTTTAATAATGGCCATATATAATGTATATCACTATATTTATATATAACTTTTCTGCCATACATTTCGGGGTTTGTATTATATAAATGTTACATTCATTTTTTAATCGATTCTGAGTTTGTGTATATATGTGTCTGTATGTATATATGCTTTTTCTAGCTAGTAGAATACTTAAAACCCTAAAATGCGCACACACACACAGAGAATATTCCATTCGATTCAAAACGATATTGGATATCATGTCTCGCTTTCTTTTAGTGGCTGGACAAATATAAGACGGAGATGAAAGGGATCAAAGTGATGATCTCTCTCAGCTGGTACAGAGCTTTCAAAGCTGATGAGAAGAAATTAATGCAGGTAATAAGAGAGATAAAAAGGCTTTTACGAATGAGACATATGAGGGAGTCCTGATCAGAGAAAGTGTCAGACATTGCACAAGATCCAAAAAGATAACTGTTGTGGAAAAGGAATCGCAGAGTTATTCGGAGCTAGGAGAGTAGAGAGGTTAATTAGTAATTAGCAGCGCAATTACCGTGGGACTGTAATATTCTTTACATATATGTGTGTATGTGTGTTGCCCTATATGGAAATTGGATGGATAAGAATGTGGAATGGTTTATACATATAGAATGATGTAAGATCTAAATAAGTTAACTTTTTAGGTTAAGTTGGACTCTGAAGTGTGTTGCGCCACTTTCACATGTGATGTCTCCTCAACAAAATGGTATCACTTGATTGTAGTTTATATGTTGCCTCCCTTAGAGAGTTAGTGTTCCTGCAGTTGGTATTATTACAAGTGCAAATGATGGAGCATTTGGTGGACTCGCATGATTTTGGCTCTCTTTCTCATGCTCAAGTTGGCTATCGTTTCGAGTGTGATGCTTGGATGCGCCGAATACTAGAAACTTTTATTCGAGGAGGAGCTTGGTGAACACACACATGAGGGGGATATTATTGCACGTGTGTGTTGTCCTACGTGAAAAGTTGATAAGAATGTGAAATGGTTTATATACATGGAATGACTCAAGATCCAATAAATTACCTTTTTAGGTCAAATTGAACTCTTAAAATTTGTTAAGTCAATTTCATATATGTATGTCATCATTAGTACTAGGAAACACACTAAAACCTAAAAAAATAAAAAATAAATAAAAAGACAGAAGCGTAGCGCCAAAAGAGGAAAGTAAACCCCCAAAAAAAAAATTTAAGAAAGTTAAGAATGGTAAACTACTCTTTAATACATACAATCCCTTTATTACATTAATAAATATTAAAAGTAATATAACCATGTTTTTTGGAGTTTGTTTATCCCGTAATATAACCATGTGTACTGTCTGAATAGGAATACCATATTACATATATATCATTCCAGACTAAACTTTGGTATCATTTTCAGAGCAAAAACTTTGGTATCATTTATCACAAGAGTCAAAACTACTTGTCGTTTCTTAACATGCTATTCTCGACCACGTCAAGCTCCAGACCGAAAATATGAATGGTTGACGACATACCATTCTAAACTTGCTACGCTCATGTATTCTAGTAAACCACGTATTCATTTGTAAGTAGATATGCAACAAAGGGCTGGGACTCGTGGGCCGGTCTAGGCCTATTCTGACACAGTGACAAGTTAGGCCGACACGGCCTGTCACTGTTCGAGGCACGGCCCAGCCCATAAAATATTAGTAGGCTGGACTGGCCCATAAGCTGACCCGGCACGACCCATGAAAAATAATGGGCCAACATATATTGACAACATATATCTACATGTTTTTTAGTAATTTTGTAAACATCTTATGTATAATTATCCTGATTGTATTCTTTTTTTCTTATTAAAGTTTTGTCTCACTGGGTTTTCTTTAGAAAAGTTTTTATTTAATGAGACAATCGTAAATAAAATATTCATTTTCATATTTTCATTGACTATTCAAACTTTTATATTTGTACTTAACTTCTTTAAAAATTCAAAAATAAAAATTAAAAATTAAAAAATTAAAAATTGCATGCTTAAATGAGTTGGCCCATCTGAACCCATGATGAGCGAAGATGGGCCTTGAATGGGTCAGCCAATTCAAGGCCCATGACACGTCCCATCCTGGCCCACGGCACAGCCTAACCTGGCCCACGTAAAATTAGCTCGTAGTATGAGTTGGGCCGAGATAATTCTTATATGGGCTGGCCCAACCCGGCCTACAAAATTAGAGGGCTTGGCCGGACCGGCCCACGGCCCGTGTGGGCCTAAGAAGAACAGGTCAGACCGGCCCACGGCCCGTGTGAGCCTAAGAAGAACGGGTCGGACCGGTCCGTTCTTGCATCTCTACTTTAAAGTTAATTAAACGACATCTAATTTTCCTGTAACGTTGTCGTTTTCATTTTACTGAATGACATGTCACTTCGTTCTAATGTTATTTATATAACAGATTTTCAAAAGTTAAGTAGTAAATAACATAATTATTCTAGTTTATTAGTAAATAACATATTTTAAAATTTTAACTATTTCTTTCCCATGTTACCCTTAATTTTAAGAGAAATCCTAAAAATTCTTCCAAAATTTGAAAATTAAAATTCCAAGAAAAATTTCTCACTCCCCCTTTCATGCTAGCCCACTCTCTTTCTCTCCTCACTCACTCCCTCACTAGTCACTCCTTCCCTTTCTCTCCTCTCTCTCACGCCAGCCACTTTTTCTCTCTCCTCTCACTCGGCCAGCCTCTATCTTTCTCCCTCCTCTTTTGCTCACCCCCACCCATTTCTCCTTATCTCGCGAGTGAGAATGGCGAAGATCATGGACATCCGTAGCTGATCGGGGCCCTCCCTAGAAAACCACCCATACAGAATCGGCGTAGAACCAGTCTCGTACTTTCCCAGAAAATCAACTCAGAAGTCCGTCATTGGCTGTGTGCTAGCTCTAAGATTCGCAAACTCCATTATGGCACCGTTATCTCGCGAGCAAGAGGAGAGGGAGAGAGACAGAGCAAGGGAGGAGAGAGAGAGCAAGGGTGAAGAGAGAAACAAGGAGATAGAGGGGTAGTGATAGAGATAAGAGAGATTTTCAAATTTGGTGTCTTTTGGGTTATTTTAGGTAATGCAGTATATGTCAAAATATCTAAATTAAAATTTTCTGGTATTTACTAAATATTTTTTAAAGATTTTTTTATGATCTGCTAAAGGTCTGTTTAGTTCGTTGATTCGACATTTTAATTCGAGTTAAGATGTGATTTTATGTGAGAACTTTTTACTGTAGTAAAAAAGTTAGATGTGACTGTTTCTGAGAATTTTTTACTGTAGTAAAACTTGAATTGGTGAAATGAACGGGAATTTTATCTACCCATCTTAAATATGATATTTCCTTCATTCTCCCATGTTTATTGATGCCAATGATGTGTCTTTATTATTCAGAATTGGTAAATTTGAAGAATAACAAAACTACATGATGTGTATAGACTAAATTTTTTAAACGGATAGTAAACGAAAATTATAAGATGTCTCATATTCATGTTGGTTCTTGCGAATATGACATACATCGTTAGTTATTTAGAATTTGGTGTTTTCTTGGGGAGAAAAAAAAAATTAGGTTGTTTGTATGATAAAAAGACACATAGCTGTTGAAGTTTTAGGTCTCTTTATCATAATTTAAATTTTTACTACAATGTTTTTCTTACAAAAATTTAAATACAATTTTTTGTATTATAGTATTTTCTCTCATATAAAATCACTTCTCAACTCGAATCGAGGACGTTAACGAGGTCTTAGCTTTGTTTCTTTACATAAGTCAGCTTGTCACTGTATAAAATAATAATCACAGTCGTGGTTTCCACAATAAACGACATGTCGTTTGTAACCTTTATTGAGCATGTTTCGGGCTTATGATTATTTAGCATTTTTCCAGTAAACTGCTTATTGTTCTTAAGTTTTGTTGCGTTTATAAAGTTTTTACACTAGCATGTTTCTGTTTGAAGGGCTTGTGATTGTTGTTCTTAAACGACATGTTGTTAATTAACAAAACTTCGTTATTTCTGTTGGTTTCCGAATCGAATTCGGGTGCGAAAACGTAGAAAGTTGGATTGGGTAACAAAAATTTTCTCAAAACTTTGGTGAGCGCTATAGAATATATTAATTTATAACGAATAAATTAATCTAATTAATTTAGTTCAAGAATTATACATAGCGACCGATTAGGATGATAACTCTTGTCTTTGACTACGAACAATCTAAGTGCTCTGGCTCCACAGACTACCAAGAATCTTCCTCATTAATTCTTGAGTTCAACAGAGACTGTGATGTGGGCATACCTGAAAAGACAATTAATGTTATCACTCATCTCACAAGTCTTCCATAAACATCAACACATGTATGATGTGTAACTGGGAATGGAAGAACTTTTTTTCTCTTTTTCTCTCAATGTTACACGCCCACTGCAGCAAGGTTACGTGCTAATCAACTGTATATTACATGCCTGCAATAGCCAAGTTACAATACACGTCGGCCACAAAGAAGAGAGTGAAAAAGTAACACGTCGGTCACTAATATGTTACCGCTGTCTGATAGAATGTTACACGTCTATAATTGATATATTACACGTTTATCACATAGGAGAAGGAGAAAACTGTGTTTTCTAATTTTTTGTAATCTCTTATTTATAGAGTGTCTCCTAGACCTCTATGGAAAGTTTACCTTATCACATAAGATGAAGTTTCCTGAAATTTAGAAATAGTTTCACGTTTGAACTTTTAAATATTTTCTTTTTTTCTTTTCCTTGTGAAATTCGGCTACCATAGTTTTCAAAACTATGTGTGTGGCACCAATAGCCGTTAAAGTGGGAGAAGATTTATCTTTTATCCAGTTTCTAATTTTGTCTCAAAATTCTAATTCTAATTAAAGTCAAACTTTCCTTAAATTTGAATTCCAATTGAACAACTTGTCAAACAAGTAAACCATATAACTTAGAGAGCAAACAAGCGAAACCTAGTGGGATTCTTCCTGTGTCACATGCCCCCTGCACCCAGTGACTGGGCGTGTGGCCTATGTGGTCCCACCACATTTTACTTTCTAAAATAAAATTAAATAATCACATTATTTAATATAATTAATTCTCAATTAATTATTTCCAAGTGATATAATTTAGAATTCTATAATTCTAAATTTACTGTTTTATCCTTAGTGTCTCGTAGAATTAACAGGATGACGCAGGGACTCATGAACTCATAATATCAAGCTCTAAGAAAATTAATAATCAATTAAATTTTTTAATTAATTAATTAATTAAAGAATTTAATTGATTATTAATTCTAAAGTTACTCCACTATAAACTTGGAATTGCACTCTTGATATTATAAATAATTAATTACATCTTTGGAACGTCCATTTGATATAGTCGCTTCATATAGATCGATCCTCTATAAATAATTCATAATTAAAGCTAGGTGAAATCCGTTAACCTCTCTAATTACGTCTTTATCTTTGAGTATCATTGATTGTTTACCAGATCGTGATTCAAGTAACAAATTTAAGAATCAGAGCTCCTACTAATCCAAGTACCGAGTCAACACTCAAGAGAATTATTTATATGATTCTTTCTCAAGAAGGAATGGATTCCATCTCATAATATTAGCATTTCCCGCTACCTATTTCTTCATGTCTCCAAGATACAAAGAATAGGATTTAGATTCTCAAAATCCTTACCGAGTAAGTCAAAAGACACAAATCCATAAATAGGAGTTTGCTAATAACTCAGGATTAAGATCATTTTATATATGACCATCAGTAGACTCAATTAGAATTTCTATACTTAACATAAATTATTAGAAATTCATATTGTGTATGTGTCCCGGTCCTACATAATCTCATTATGTAAAAGACACACATTCGATATCTCTTCATATTAACGATGTAGATAAGCTCGTTCCATTCTTAATGGGAATGACATGTATTAATAATGTTTTAATTAGATATTTCAAACTTCAATTAAATTCATTACGGACTTATTTTAATTATTATCCTTAAATATTATCCTCTAGTATATAATACTTATATACAATATTGAAGATTACATAAATAATCATGGAATTTTTAATGATATTCATAAAGTATTTAATAATACATGCATATAAATAATGAAATTTCTACTTTATTAGTTAAATAATAAAATCATTAATTACATCGCAGGCTTTCATGACACCATTCTCAACAATTTCCTACTTGAGGATGACTAAGGTTATAGTAGTCAATATCATCTAAAATTGCTAGTCCTGAGGATTACAAACTTTTATGGGATGTTTGTTTTAAGGGTTCGTCCCTAGTTCTGAATAATTGTTCTTAATTCTTTACAGTGTTTTTCTCTCACAAAAAATTTGAATTTTAAAAATTAAAATCATAAATCATGGTTCTGAATCCATGAACTAAATGTCCCATTAATGTCCTACATTGCATAAACTATAATTTCTTGACGTTATGAAAGTAAACGACATGTTGTTTAATTAACAAAACTGATTCTAAAAACTGACTACTATAACCTTAGTCATCAAGAAGGATTTTTCACTTTTATCTTATTTATCTCTTATCTTTCGATGAAATATGTCTAAAATTTAATGTTGTGTGCAGATTAAAGGGTTGTTTAGTACATATACTCGAGTCAAATTATGATTTTATTACAGTATTTTTCTCTCATAAAGAATTTAAATTAAAAAAATTCCACCAATAATTCTCTCACAAAGAATTTAAATCAAAACTCAAATCAAAGTTTAAATACACTTCCCAAATCACCCTAAAACTTCCTGACGTTTATGAATAATAACTCCGTGTCGTTTCCTTGATAAAGGAATTCTCTTTTATTCTGAAAACGATATGTCGTTTATTATCCCGAATTTATTATCATTTAGGATTTAGGGAATGACAAAACGCCATATCATTATACACATGTCGTTTATAAAGTGGCCGATCTGCTCGTATATTCCAGTAAAAATGTCGTCGGAAACGACACCACATTGTCGTACGACTTGGACGGTTTTTGCCGTTGAGCGGTTATTTCCCATTCATTTCCTGTGGCCGATCCAAAAGCCTAGGAATTATCACTGGTTATCACTCGGAGCTTATTTCAATTTCTTCCGTTTTGTCTTTCTTCTTCATCTTCTTCGATTTGTTCGAATTGCATTGGAAGGTTGAACCTTTAGTGGAAGTTTGGTTTAGAACTAGATTTACGTGTATTTTTTTTAGAAAATACTTCCAGACACGAATTCTCGTACTAAACACACGTGTTTTTTGGGTTCTTAAGGCTCTGATTGGCTGCTTAGAAAGAGCAAAGGAGATTTCAAGAAAATTTAATTTCGAGTTTCTTGTTCGATTGAATTTTGCGTAAGAATATAAATTGGATTCTGTATAAGCTATCATATGAAGCGACGATGGAATGGGAAATTGGAAAATTTCGTCGCAGAGAACCGTATGTTATGGATAATTGTGTTCTGAAATTTTGAGATGGAATAGGGAAGAAAATTTTTGGTACCATGCTACAATAGAGGTTATTTGAGAATATTTCACCTTGGGTTTTGGAAGGGAAAGTGAGAACTGGAGAATTTCTACAGGAGCTGGCCGAGTTGTAACTTGTAAAGTAGATTGTTTTGGTTAGAATTCGTTTACTTGTTCAGGAAACTGTTTGCGGAATCTAGTTCCATAGAGGTATGTTCTTGTTAGTTAGGATTGATCCACAAATGCATTTCTCAACTTGGAATTCATTTTCCGAGTTTCGCAATATGACATAGAATTGGTGCTTCACTGTGCCCACTGTAAACTTTGTTCTGCTTCTGCATTTGTATTTTGAATACTAAGCTTTGGGAAGTTGCCTCTTTGTATTTCGCCATATTTATTGCATTTACTAATGAGGTGTCGGGGTTCCTTTTCCGTGCACATTTGTGAACTGTCGATACTTTCTAACAAGATTGGATTGAGTATGTTTGACGTTTCAAACTATTAAAACGAAAAGTGGGAATAAGTATGCAGGGTGAATCATGTGGTATAGATGTTGTTTTGGAAGAAAGCTTTAAGAGGTAGAGGAAGCTGATACCAAAAAAGTAATAACAATGATAATTAGTTCTTAGGCTTGAGTAACATCAGGCATATCTCTTGCGACCTGTGGAGCCATTTTGAAGGCATTTATAAATTTATGCTGTATAACTGGGAAGTAAGAAATGTCGTGTTGAGTAGATAGTATATGATGTAGGGAGATCTACCTATCAGTAGTCATTTTTATATTTTCATTGCTGTTTATATTAGCTTACTAATTTGGCTTTATTTTGTTACAAGTTTGTCATTTGTCTTGGTAGATATTTTATTATTGTTTTGTAAGTGGGCTATAAATAGCCAGTTTAGCTATTGAAATAGGGAGACTTGATTATTGATATTGAATACAAAGCATGAGTGTTTTCTCTCCAATTTGGGGTTTTTTTCCTTGTGGGAAGCCTGTAGGTAGATTTGGACTTTGAGTCCCATCTTCCATCGGGTTAGGCCGGTAAAATTCTGCTTATCTTTTCTGCTGCATCAGTATTGCTGGTAAGAGAAGTTATGAAGTCAAGGTTAAGTGTATATACAGATTGGTTGTACTTTACATGTCTTTTATATCTCTCTGGCAGAGATTTACATGCATTGAATATGTATAGTACACCTATCATTAGACTATGGTAGAGATTTACATGCTAGCGCCTAGCAAAGAGCTAGAAGTTTTTGGTAAGAAATTATTACGACTTCATGGATGTGAACTTAGATAATAATAAAGACAAGAATGGCAAAAATGGAAAAGAACTACATTTCTTCAAGACCAAAAGCCTACATGGGAAACAGTTGCCTGCAGTGCCCACCAGGACGGCCTTGCAGAATGGCCGCCTCGCTACTCACAACTTCAGTTATCAAGTCCTTAAAGATCAACCTCTCCACATCCAACACCACTGCTGGGATTTCTCTGTCATACTCTGTCCAATTCATTGGCCAATGCATCATATCTTCACATATGATGCTTTTCAAGCTATCCTCCTCATCGAGGCTGCTGCTTGAGTTCTTACCTTGAAGCCTGTCAACCTCTGAGCACAATTCTTTAAGAAGTTGCTGCCCTTCTTTCCCTGCCTGCTTGTCTGGTGAGACCCATTGCGTAAATGAATCTGTCACCACTAATTTGCGAACTAGAATTTCATCGACAACATCAAACAATAGTTTTCTGTGCATTTTTGTATCAGAATTCTTTTCACTTCCATGTTCATCATATAGAAACTGTGTGCTTGCCTTGGATTGTTCCAGGGCAAAGAACAATTTGGGATTGATCAGGTGGTCTGATTTGTGGCATTGAATGTTCATCCAGCCGGACTCGAGTTTTCTGAGGATATTTGATGCTAACAATATGTCTGAAATGTATTTATGATCTGGATTTTTGCTATCGCAGAGGATTTCATTGTTAGCAATGATTTGCTCCACATCAGCGCAGTTCAACTCTTGCGGATTTTGAAGCCAGTGCTTGAGGTTCTCTAGTACTTTCTGATCAACCTCAGTACTGGGATTAGATTTTCTGCCATTGGATGGCTGATCAAGATCCATCAGCGCCCACTCCACTTCGTCAGGGTATGGAGTCTCATCATCTACAGTAAGAAATTTGAGGAGAATTTAATATATAATAGAGGCTATTTATTTTCCAGCCAAAAAAATATTTTGTAATTTAACGCATAGAGGACCTGTTATGTCCCTTATGTGTAGCTACAAGACAAATATTTCTTTCTCACACACACAGAGACCGTGCACGCAATAATCATCTTGTCTAGGCATGAATATTGTCGTATCCATTACATGACACATGCTTTTAGTTGCACTTTTCGGCTTATAGATCAGTGACTAGGTTTTTCCCTAAATTATAATTCAGCGATTATTGACATTGTTAACTAGTTACAACTGGTATATTTTCTTTTCCAGTCTTCATTCTTTGTTTAGTTTTCTTTTGCTCGTAACAACTAGTATTATTTCGATCATGTCATTTTGTGATCCATGATTTTCGTGTAGTGTATTAATGAACGAGGCCTTTTGTTTCCTTCTCCAGCGAAGGAATTTAAGTTACCTCAAGTTTCAATTATGTCAAAATCAAGTAATAATGCATAAGAGTATGACCTTTAAAGGCATTTGATGTCTTCTTCACTGGAGATAGCGAGTCATCTCTGTAAAATGTAGCATCAAGAACGGAGACAGGGCTTGGTTGTTCTGGGGTAGCTCTCCCAGGTTCTGCCATTTTCCTGTTCACACAGAACCCAGCAGTCGGGTTCTAAGAAAGAGAAGTCATGTTAAGTGTTGATTTTACTGCATTTTGAAAACTAGATAACAGGGAAAAAAAAAAAGGCTTACTTTCTGTTTTTGCCTATTCTGGTCAGTGTTGAGGCTGTTCATCTGATCAGGTTTAATACTGCTTGAGACTTCATTTTCTATATCTGAGGCTGAGCTGATATTGCTCTCAGATTGAAGAGAAATGGAATTGCCTTGGTGGCATAAATCTCTGAACCTGGTCCGGGTATCACTTAAATGGTCAGTAATCTGCTGCATGTTGGAAGATCTTGGCCTGCATTTTCTTCCTGGGCTGCTGGATTCGCTTTGTTGCCTGCTGCCATGCCTTCTACTCCTGCTTGAATCTGATGGACTGGTTGGAGTAGACTGTTTCTCCAATCCAGACCTCCTCTGTTGCAGTCTAGGGCTTATTGTTCTGGAGTTTCTACCCGAGTTTCCGCTCTTTTCATCACTATCACTTTGAGGCATCTTTGAGGGTTGTGTAAATCTTGCAGTCCTGATGTTGGAATTTCCTTCTTCAGAGGAAGGTCGTCGATGGAAGGAATTTGTAACTTGTGTGTTCCTTGGAGTTAAATGTTTGGTCATTCTTTTCTCTAAGGATACCTTTCTGTTATCTGCAGCACTACTATGATTCTTGTGCAGGTCCAACAAGTTGTCGATTTTGTTCATGGTGGAGGCAGAATCAGTGTTTTTCCCTATAAGTTTAGCCGGCTTCATGATTACAATTGGGGATTTATACCCTTTTGGAGTTTTAACCCCATTGGAGGTGGGAGGATCGGATATATTACTGTGTAGGTTTCTCTGGTGTCCCAAATTCGAGCCGTGATCGAGGCTGCTGTTGCCATCTGATTGATATGCAAATTTCTGATCTTTCTTATTCTCTAAATCTTCTTCAGTTTTCTGCATTGCTTCAAGTATCTGTTTAAGAGCTCTGAGATCCTTCCCAGATTTTTTGAACTCAAGATCTGCCAATCTTTTTTCAATTTCTCCATAAACTGTCAGCGCCTTGGTTGGTGTTTTTGCTGGAGTTTCATGGCTCTTGAAAGATGGTGATTGAGGCGCTTTGTGCCCATGTGGTTGCTTCCATGGAGCTGTTTCTATAGGAAATTTCTGGTTTGGAGTGGTCTTTATCACCAAATCAGCATTTTTCATCTGTGGCGAGGCGAGTTCCATCCGAGAATTTCTTGGGGATCCAGAAAAATGATCCAGCTGCTTATTTACCTTGGTTGTTCTCGATGATCTTGATAAGGGATCTTGTTTCTCAGCTTCTAAGCTATTATGTAGCTTTGTAGAGTCATCAGCGATTGGCGTCGGGTCTACCAACCCCATCAACTTTGCCACAACACTAGATGCTCGTTTGGAGCTACCTGGCTCTGGCTGCATTTGCATATCATTTAAGAGATAACTTGATTTTACTTCATATGCAGAACCCCTTATGCAGCCTTGTCTGCTGTCAAGTGACAGCCTCGGGAGTTCTTTCAACTTTATGGTGGATTTGAGTATATCTTGTGACTCCCTTCCATCGTAAGAAAGCCTTCGTGGATCCTTTGGTGCCCAACGAGTACGACAATTCTTGTCTTCGTTTGAATTCAAATGGCCTTCACGAAACTTGGAAAAAACACGAAACGAGTCATTGACGCCAGAGATCCTTGGCTTGGCAGAATTGGGCGGTTCCGAAGGTCTTGGGGAGTCTATGTATTTCAAAGTACGGACAACTGCTTGTTCTTTAGCTGCAGTCTTCACCGATAACCCACGGGCTTCTCTGTGCATTGAGTCTTTGACCACATCTCGGAGATCAACAGATTTTCGGCTAAACTGCGTTGGACCATTTGGGTGGTTTATAGGCAGGTCACGGGACAGTGTTTCTGAAGAAATGGTTTGGCTGGATGGGGATGGTTCTAGGTGAGCTGTTCTGTTGTAGTCAAGGGATGAGAAGCTAGACGAACAAGAAGAAGAAGAAGAAAATGAATGTCTTGATAATTCCATGGAGGTTCTTCGTTTTTCCTGAACAACCTTCTTTGAATTCTTTTCCTACAATCATTAGTTTACTTATCTATTATTCTTTTGATGAAAAAAAAAAAAAGCAGACAAACTATAAGTAATAAAGTTCAGAGTTCTTACTGTAGCTTTCTTCAATCTATTGTTGGCCTCTATTGCTTGGTCTCCATTTTTACCTATAATTTAAAATAGAAAACCAAGAATTAAACTTTCGACGTTGAAGGGAGTGATCTTACAAACAAAACAAAAAATTAAGGTAAAAAAAAAAAAAAAAAGTGAATAATTTATAATGCTCGAAGAAAAAATGATGTCATGTTTAAGAACAATTGATATTTATTATTTGGTCTGGATACAAAGCAAGCCTCAGTTTGGAGATTTATCAATCCGATTAACTTGCACTAAAAACAAAATTGTTGATATTAATTACTTTAAGCAATTTATGGTTTAAAGACAATAAGTAGAAGACAATTCAAACTGATTTTGGTTCATATCCAGAGTTGGAAATCAAAGATACGAATTCTTTACTGATCTAAGGTGTAGGTAATGCAAAGAGCCCGAGGGCCGAGACAAACAAATGTCACTCAGTCGCTTGTTAACAAGTTGCAGAAAGCCAGAAACAGGTAAGAAAAAATTCTAAGTTCCTGCAAATGGTAAAGAAGGAAAAAAAAAATTGCACAGAAACAAAAATGAATCCTAAGAACATAAACAAAAACATGTATTTCTTGCGAGCCTGAAGCTTTCATGCAACCACATTGCTGTAACTACATATATGTTGTTGAATATATATATATATATATATATATGTGTGTGTGTTTGTGTGTATAGGTATATGTATAATATGTGTATATATGTATGTATCTATCTATGTATGTAAATACCTGACTGAGGCAGTCTCTTGGGAGTATGGCTAGCAAGGTAACGGTGACGGTCAAAGAGCCGAAAAAATCCATTCATGCATCCAATCTGCTTCTGAAGATCTGGGTTCTCATCTGTTAAAGAATATATGAGTTTTGCAGACATGTTCATCACTTAGATGCTAGATCTCTTCAATTCCACAGATTCAGTATCTTTTTGTTCTTTTTACACTTTCTAAGCTGCCATATCTGCCTCTGTCTCTTGGAAGCTTACATAAACTGTTAAAAGATGTCTGTTTTTCTTAATGTGTGTGTGTTTATATATATACATATACATACACACACACACACACACATATATATGTAGATGTTTTCGTTATGAACGAATTCCAAGTCAGAATTACACACTGCACTAAGACTCTTCCCCGAAAGTAATGGTACAAACACAGGAATGTTTTTCTTTTTCGAGTTTCAGACACAGAGATTTTCTGAACAACAAAGACAACGAAAACCAGGAAGAAATCAAGAAGAGTTTCCCAAAATTTAATGTTGGTTAGTTAAAGAACAATTTTTTTTTTCCCTGGGTTTTCACAGAACAAGGCAGACAATATTACGGAGTGCAAGAGCCAAAAGAGTAGAAAAAAAGAAAATGCAAGGGACCCAACAAACAAGACACTAACATGGACTAAAAAGTACTAGTAATGCAACCAAAAAGAAAGAAGAAAACACTGCAGCTGAGAAGCTCTGCAGAGCCAAGAAGAGAGATGTTTGTTTGGAATTGGATTTTCCCTCACAAGTCACTGAACAAAAGAGTACGGTTTTTTTTTTTTTTTTGGCTCTCTCTAGGAAAGGAAGGCAGGCAAAACAACCCCCCAAACGGATTTATATCATATATAAGATTATAAGTTTGTTTAAGAAGAAAGAGGACATGATTTACAACAACAGCAAAAAAGAGAGGACATTTTTGTATATTTGTTAAGCCAATGTTGTTTGAGTCTCAGCTTGGAAAGAAGAATGAAGACGTGCCCTTTTATTATTCTTCTTTCTTTTGTTTCTTTTTCTCTTTTTTCAATTTATTCTTTGAGTTATTATTAAGTAGTACGTATTAGAGAGAGAGAGAGAGAGAGAGAGAGGAATGTCTGGGTCAAATCTGAGTGGAGGAGAGAGAGGGAGATAATTTGGATAGATTTTGCAAAGAAAGAGGGAAGGAAAGTGGAGAGAGAGGGGTATGAATTTGTGGGTCAGATCTGCTGTGTTGTCTTTCTCCATGTGGACAATAAAATTTGGGTGGGTCACTGGGTCAGTGGGTCTGGACCCATGGGCTTTTTTCTTATTTTCCTATTGTGACCATGTGGAGTTTGTCAGATAAGTTGAAAAAAAAAAAAAAAAAAAAAAAAAAAAAAAAAAAAAAAAAACTGAAACAAATGAGAAAGTGGATTTATGTACTGGAAAGCCTGCAGTTGCTGATGATCAATCTTAAGTAGTAAATTCCTTGCATTATAATTCCCTTTGTCCAATTACCACAATACCCTCTTTACACATATTAATCTTCTTAATTACCTTGCCATGCATTGTCCATTCATGCCAATGACAACTGATCTCCAGTGGGTACTAATGTTGTTATTTGTATTACTTTTCACTTTCACTGCTTATTGTCTGTTGTCGTTTGGATTACATATAAATGCTTTGTGTTCTCCACATGGATATTTGTCTAATAGTTTCTTTCTGTCACCCTCTTTATATATATATATATATATATAAGAAATAATAATAGTTTCTTTATAAGTTATTGCTTCATGATTGTTGCCCTTTTGTAAGATTAAGCTCCAATGTGATTGGACGATATATCCAATAGGTGACAGCCATGATTTTCTCTTGAATGTGTGATTAATTTTCAGATGACTGATATATATACACAATATCCTACACGTATTATTGTAGTATATAAGTTGGTTAAAGCACTTTTAAAAAACTGAAGAAATCAATATAAGACGCAGAAGAGCCAAGAGAGACGTTGACTCTAACACCATTATAACCTGCATGTATATAATATATAGTTAACAGGAAAAAAATGTTTCACGAAATTTCTCGTGTTTTGTATAATATTGGACGGCATTATAATGGACAGTGATACCGACACGTCGTTTAGAATTATGACCTCAATTTTTCACATGCGCTGTCTAGTTCAACTTTTTTAGGTAACGTTTAGTTGGGTAGCATATGAACATTAGTATTGTCAATTTGCCACTGCGAAACATATAATAACTTGCTATATATTTTAGACATATATTTGTGTGCACTTTTTTATATTTGTGAATTTAAGCAGAATTCGGACATGTATATAATGTAGTTATGTACAGAATGAAATGCAAGGAATCTCAAGCCTCAAAATCACTCTATTAATTAATTTTTTTCAGATGAGCTACGTCATCTCTGCATTAATTATTATATCTCAATTACTTTTACGTAATTAGGTTAAAGAATGAGAAGTACGGAATATAAAATATTGATTGCAAGAGCCGGTCTATTTCCAATAATAACTTGTCTAGCTAACCAATCATGCAACTAGCTATACAGTTGTACAATTGATTAATGCAGAAGTTAGGGTTCCAAGAAGGCAAAAATAAATAAGTTAGAATAATGCACGAAACCGCATTACTCCTCTACTCCTCTTCTCTTTGTCCATTTTCTATTATTATTTTTTTTTTATTCGAAAGAGGGGGGTTTTTTTTTTTAAAAATCTTTTTTCTGTTTTTGGGGTGGGTTTGCAGGGCTTTTTTTTTTTTTTTTTTTTTAAAAAAAATTGTAAAATTTATCTTTTAGAATGCACAAATTTAGATTTTTACCCTTCATTTTTTATTAATACCTTTTTATTAATATAATTATTTAACTAAAAATGTTATTAATGAATAGTAAATAGTAGAAATCCTGACTCATACACTTTTAAAGAGTAGTTGTCTCCTTTCTTTTTTTTGAGGAAATCTCAAAGGAAGTTTTAGTCTTTAGTCCACATAATAAATATATATATATATATATATATCTAAGACATTTCCAAAAATTATGCAGCTTAGAAAGATATATATTATTGCAAGCGAACCCTATATATTCTCTCATAAAACAAAATATAATTCGATCGATGTCTACCAACTTAAGTCATATACTCGCATTATTGTTTGTTTATTAATTGCCAACTGTATTTCTATGTCTATGTCTATCGATCCCCAAATAAGGGAAAGGGCAAAAGGAAATAAAAGAGAAGAATTATTGATGAATGAATAAAACAATACAGTAGTAGGCTCATGAAGCTGCAGAGATTACAAAATGATACACACACACATATAAGGGAAAAGGAAAAGGAAAGTTTTGAGCCCGTTTAGTAACGTTTTTAAAATGATTTTGTTTGCAATACAAAAGTAAAAATGAGATTGTTTCGGGAATTATTCTAAGTCCAATTCTGAAATTGAGCTTAGTTAGTTTTTTAAAAAGTTGTCTTAAGTATAATAAAAAAGTAAAATCATCTTTCATTATAACTATTAATTAATTCAGTGAATAGTAATACTAACACTGATCATATGGTCAGTGGTCCTGGGAAACGTCGGCATAGTTGGTGTTTTCTTTTCTAAACTGTTTTGTTTTTGTTGGTTAGGATGATTCACACCATTGGCCCTTCTCATCCACATCATTTTGATCTGGATGATATACCGGTGGATATCTTTTTCTTTTCCCCAAGATTTTTTCTTTGTTTCTTTTTTTTCTTTTCCCCCTCTGTGAAGGATATATTTATATTTATAGTTATGGGAAAATGGTAGCTATAATTTATCTTGAAGTTGATTCTGTTGTTCTCTTTCTTTACTACAGCTTGTTCGCCAATTTTAATCTCCTTAGTTTATTTCATTGGCAAAGTTGCAATATAAATTACCATTTAAACTTTGCAATTACTTAGGCGTAAGAAGTGAATTTAGGTGGGTGAAACTTTTAAGAGAGGTTACGGGTTCGGTCTCTTCTCAAATATATTAAAGAAAAACGTCTTATTTAGGTTAGTACCTCTTGACGTTCTTTAATTATGCAATTTTTAAATGATTTATGTTGCAAAATTTGCACGAGTACGTACTATTGAAACTTGGGGTTGTGTCACGTGCTTTGTCTTCACGTGGGAGATAATGATATAACGAAAAGCTCATCTTAGCTTCAAAACAAATGATCTATAATTTTTTTAGAATATTGTAGTCTTAATTTTAAGCTTCAAGAAAATAAAATAAAAGGAACATCAGAAGACCATCTAATGCTCAGAAGGAACATGAGAATTTTCCTAATTCCTTATTCTTTTTATTTAAATGGGCAAAAGATTTATGAAATTGTACGAAAATTGTCTAAGATATTCAATTCGTGTTAGAACACTAGTGCCTGCATGAGCTGGATTTGAAGGTCACCTATTAAATTGTTGCCGTTTTTTAAAGGGAAGAGAAGAAAAAGAGACAAGTAAAAAGGTGCATAATTACTAAAATAAATAATATTTTATTAATTCTTCATAGCATATATAAGCAAGTTGATATTAATAATTAGGACAAGAGAGACAAAAAGGCATGCAGAAAGGCCAATATTGCTTGTTAAAATCATCCACCATATACGCATATATATATATATATATATATAAAGTCTGAGTATGTTTTCCGCTTTCCCAAAGACGGTTAATTAATTGATGGTTTCTCTTCAAAGAGCACGAATTCATTATATTAAAATGAATAGTATATGGAAAATATTAACCACTTCTGATATTTACACACCATTAGTTGTCGCTATAAAGGTTGGCTTCAGAAGTGTGTTGTACAATAATAAATTGCGTGTTCCTGGAGTGCCTGGTGTATTAATCAAAAGCTACCAAAAAATTCCAACCTTATTGATTGAAACTTAACTCTCTATCGGCAAACCAATAGTCAAATCATTTGAGAAGATATTAACATTTAGCCCTAGTTAGTTTATATGATATGCATGTGTGAGTAATATATATGTATGTGTTTGTATATATATGTCTATATGTATTTCATTCATCTTGCTTATACATCACCAAAAAACTATAATTACGATAAAATGGAGTTGTACTAGTGATGGTGATAGTGGAAATTATTACATGAGACCAAGAAAAGGAGGATGAGGCACATGGAAAAAGTGAAGATGTCACATGAGGGATGCCTTAGCTTCATTATGCAGAGAGCAACTAGGCCAACTATATATTGCATTAAAAAAAATAAAAATAAAAAAATAAAAAAATAAAAAAAAAGCTAACTATCTCCATCTTCCTAAACAAAGTTCCAAGAAGCATTCCTCCATTAGTTAGCCATCATTGGCACATGACACTCCCCACTGCATGCAGACTCACCAATATATATTTATATGTGTGTGAATTTGCATACCCTTATATAATATTTATCTAAGTATAAATATTTCCAAGTCGTCACCAATAAACGTTATACCTATAAATAATTTATGCAAACTACAGAATAAATTATAAAAGGTCATGACTCATGAGGAAGATTCAAAAGCAAAGGCTGATCATGAAAGTTAGGTTCCTTGTTCACATTCTAAGGAATTGCATAAAAGGACTCCAAGATCGTGTGACCATTAAACAAGGGGATATTGCAGTGTTGAATACTAGCTAGACAGTTTGTTCAATGTGGGCTAAGTCAAGATTCCATCTTATCCTTTATTTCACATGAGAAAGTGCCAGTCTTTAGATCTTTAGATCTGAGCTTGGGCTCCAAGGAAACTGATCAACATTCGAATTTGAAAATACTACAGATCTTATCCTTCCAGTTTTCATGTCCACGATATAATTTTAAGGGTTAATCTCAATGGTAGTCCTTAAACTTTAGATCATTTTTAGTTTGTCACTTAAATTTTAAAAACTCATTTTATCTCTTAAATTTTAATCAACCCCACTTAACTTCTCTTGTTAGAATTTCTATTAAAACCAGACTAAAAAGAGAGAGTTAAATGTGGTTATACTTCCTTTTTTCATTTATTTTTAACAGAAATTCTAATAAAAATACCATGTGATTAGACTACTTCCTTTTTTCATATAATTTTTAACAAAATTTCTAATAAAGGGCATAAACGGGAGTAATTTTAAATTCAAAAAGTAAAAGTTTTTTAAATTTAAAGGACAAATTAAGAACTGCTACAAAATTCAAAAATATACTAGTGAGATTAACCCTAATTTCAATAACGAAGTCTAAGAGTATGCTTTTGCTAATTTAATGAAGAACATGATGCGATTGACACGAAACCTATAAAGAACTCCAAAAATAGCTCAGCATGATCAGATGAGGGTGTTGGTCTTATTAACCAATTAATTTGACTTGCATATGCAAAGCTTTTATTAAAAAATGGATTTATCACGTGTACTAAGAAGTAGTTTCTCTACTAAACAATTGTTCTTAAGTGGTAATAACATGATTAATATATTCTTCATAAAAATAAGATCGACAAATTATGCAATCCAATTGCCAGGTAAGTGGGATCCAAAAAGTCATCTACATCACATGCTAAGTTCCATCCACGTATATCAATTATTCAAATACCCAAGTACTTACCGTATCACCATGAAGTGCAACTTCCATCAATAATTTCGATTTCTTGGGCCTCCAAGGAATTGCAAAGAAAATCTCTCTACCAAGACTCTGAACCTCTAAGGATTATGCACACCAAAGTTAGGTTTCATGTGGGACCCCTCTAATTGACAAGTGTGACAAAACCCATTTCTTCTTTGTTACATTATCTTCCTAGTGTGGGACCAAAATTTTGTGATGTGTCATTGTAGTTCTCATCATATGCAGTATTTCTGAAAGTGCCCTATCGATTTCAACATTGCAAGGAGTATAACAGCAGACTTTTTTGAAATTAGTCTCTGCTACATGTGACTTGTATTAGTACACACTACACAAACTGCTATTTATTACAATTTTTTTTTTTTTTTTTCTCTTTTGTCCATAGAAAACAGTGGATTTGTGTGGAGAAAGTTTCAACAGGGAATGGGCATTGCGCCTCATATTGGTTGAAGGGTCAACACCAAATCCTATGGCAGAGCAAAAACACATGATGAGAAAGAGATGATATGAATTATGATGGTGTGATAAAGTCATGGATTGTTGGTACAACATGTGGCTTCAGCAGCTTCCTCGGATGCTTGGTGGGAGTGGCACACATAAGAAAAATGTTGTCCCAAATTCATTTATGAGAAAATTTATGCCTTGATTACTGATCATGACCACACATCACATTCACACTAAAATGTCACCTTATTATAAATGAATCAGATGAATATAGGGAATGTAAAGTTAATGGACTCATTTCAATACTATTATCTTTAGAAGTTATATGACAACTACCAGTACTTACTATAGCGGTTTATAAATGAGGAAATCCAGAGGAATACCTCCCCATTAAGAGATTTTTGCTCCCACTTTCTCCTGTTACATATCAATTCAAAAGGGCTGAATTCTAAGAGAAAAGTACGAGACTAAAAAGTGAATTAAGGCAGGCAAATTCCCTAATTTTATCTACCAAGTAATAGTAGAGATGAATTTTAGTCCTTCTCAACTTGTGATGTAATGTTGGGCTTAGTTTTAAAATTATTTACAGTAAATAGTAATTTAATATGTAAATGTGTCATTTACAATTAGTAAGAAGATTTTTTTCTATGTAAATTTTCTTTTATGACTGGTTAAAATTTTTTTTTTTTTTTTTTTACGTAAGTAGAGATTTTTCACACATAAATTAATTTTATCAATTGTAAATGAAATATTTATACAATAAACTATTATTACTTTAAATAGATTTAAAATCTCTAGTTAAATTTCAAAATATCTGCCATTTACCACAATTTCTGATTTATTTTCTTTAAGAAAAAAAGTGTCATGTGTATTTCGCCCAACCATCAAGAGAAGAAAGCCACTGACTAGTAACTTCTGACCATGAACAATGTTTGCAAGTTGTGAAGCAATTGCAAGATCTCTTTTTCATATATGGCCTAAGGAAATTCTGTTGGAGTCCGATTTACCCTCATCCAAAAGTATATTGCCCAAAACAGATGGTCACAAATCACAAGTATCATTTGCAGCCTCCATTTCCTCATAAAGTTATATCAAATTTTAGACTCTCAGAAGTATCATTAGAAGCCATCTCTGCCAAGTGAAAACTCTACTATTCACTGACCAAAAAAAATAATGAACACAGTGAGATATTGACCAAGATGAGAATGGATATCCACCAGAAGGTCAATATCCACCAAAAAGAATGTTACAATTTGGTAACCTTCAGTTGCAGTATTCTGTGTTGGCATTTCTCCAATCAGTAACTATTTTAACAAATTGCCAGCTTTTCATTTATGAAAGTATTGATGGCAGAATTCTCCTTCGTAATCCATCCTTGATCGAAAACATAAGGTATAGAAGATTTGCGGAGGTTCGAGACTTTCAATTGAAGATGACAGACACTAAATTGAGGTTGGCAAGGAATACGTTGCAGTAATAACCTCAAGGTAAAAGTCCCAAGAAGCGCTGTTTTCAGTGATAGGCATTTGACCAAATGGTTTTTTCTCTACAAACTTCTGAACATCTTTGGCTGCAGACAATTCTTCCAGATAGACCCTAAGATCACCTCCAGCACCTGTGACATATTGCATCTAGTCATGTACCAATTAAATAGTTGATGATTCACTTGATTTAACTACTCAACAATGACCGTCTAAGCACATAACAAGTATGCCATCGATAATGGATCCATCCCTACATATTAATAAGAAGCATGGCTGCAGAAAGCCTCAGAAATAAACAGACTACACTATAAACTTTGTAGGGTAATTCGTTTTTCACTCAATACATGATCGATGCAGATTATTCCGACTTACCTAGCGAACTGTCAATCCCGTCACTAAACTTGTAAGGATGAGGGAAGACTGAAGTGTATGCCTATAAGCAGAAGATCAATATAATAAGAGAAAAAAGCCCATACAAGGGTCTGAATCATAAACATTAAGGTAAACCAGAATTAAAATGAGCTTACGGGATTAAGCAGGGCTTTGTAAGGGGAATCATCCAACAACAAAGTATTTGATTCGTTATATTCTCCCTTCTCCCATGGAAGATTAGGGTCATGTTTTTCCCAAAGTCTCCTCAGCTCTTTGAAAACCAAGGTCTTATGCCTGTTTTCAAGAGTTCTGAACCCAGTTGCAGTGCACTGGGACAGATCCTACAAAAAACCATTGTGGCATTCACACAAATATCAATGCTATATAAGTGGATAAGAATGTGCACTTCTCCGATCGGATCTATAATAGTTGTATCAAACAAGCAACTTTGTGCAGAAATACAAAATTATATACTTTCGCTTTAAGAGGCAGAAATCTAGAGAAGAATAAAATGAACAAATCAAAGCCACTTACCCAACAAAACAGCAACTTGTGCTTCATATCTCCCATTAGATAATCAATTACCCTTGTTGCAATTCTCCTTCAAGATGTTAGTAAGAAATTGTAGTCAACACTTATTGCCAAACATATTTCGGAAAAGAAAGCACTTCTGAAATATAAAAGAATATTAGCAGCAAAATGAGAAAGAAAATGATATCCATATTATAGGTTGAAGATTACTCGGATCTTGAAGACCAAACACCTACTTCAAATCGCTCGAAACAGAACTTCAGGAAATCATGACAAGCAGGTCTCATGAAGACTGGAATAAAACAAGAATGTTGCAGTCAAAAGTAAAGCATAGTTTCTTAATTAAACTGTCTAGAATAAGAAACAACACACGTCGATTCTTGCCTGCCCGTCTTGCGATTTTTGTGTCTGCTTTGTGGTCCTTTGGAGGAGGAGAAACTATATCCGCTAACAATCCATTTATATCAAGAATGAGAAGCTTTTTCCTCAAGCGACTGGAAGGCAATCTTGGAAATGAGGTGTTACAAATCCCCGAGTCGCCATTTACTTTGTTTAAAGTCCTAACAGTTCCTGATGGAATAGCTACTGCCTTGTTGTTTCTTCCGTTGCATAGACTTAAATTAGATATGATACTCAAATGGACATCACTAATCTGTTCTTCTGTCTCAGGCAGCTCTTGAACTAAAGTATCATTTTGCACTACCATTGGCTTCTTCCTCCTGTTTCTCCGCCTTGTTTTCTTTTTCCACACCAAAGTCAGTTGCTCGGGGTTCTTGGTTTTCTCGACATTCATCTCGAGAGACCTAACAAAGGGAGCCCGCATTGTTGACTTCACTTCTAAATTATTAGCTTGAACTTCACCCTTGGTCATTGGCAGGGAATTTGTATTCTTGATAAGATTCGTATTTCCTATTGATTGTTTTCTGCTATTCAAGTTAATTATATTAATATCCATAAATGTTAACGCGCCCTTGATCATTCCTCTTGTCTATTGGCCCTGCAGTTGTGGGAAACCAAAACTCAAATGAGCTTCAATAAAGACAGAAAACTCTATCCATTTAGAAGGTATTGGAATAACTTTCATATCTTTTCTTTAGAAAGAGACCGTAGTTTTTTTTTTCAAAAATATAATAAACCAACATAAAAGGACAAAATAGCAAGGATTAAGAATCAAGGACTTCAAAATTTCTATATTCTGAGAGATTTCTACTGATTGTGCCTTCTCACTTAACCCAGTTATCCAAAATCCTGTGTTCCATCATTAAGCTAACGCATGCCCATCATTCCAGTTATGCAATACTAGATGCTATTCCAAACGAGCCTTATCTAGAATGAAGAAACATTTAACAAAACTATCGTGCCCAGAAAAAATGGAAAAAAAAAAAATCACCAAAAAAAAAAACAAATATTCAAAATTTTAAATGGTAGAGTCATAACCTTAGCAATCCACGATTGATGGATTAGGCTAAGCAAATAAAGTCGTTAACTTTATTGGGTACGAACGAACAAATATTCTACGCTTTAGAGAGAAAGAGAGGGAAAAAAAAACGAACTTGCATTACAAAAAGAGAAAATGAATAAAGAGTAATAAGGAATATATAGGAAAGAAAACAAAACGAACAAGGAATGAATCTCAAACTATGAAATGCATTAGAGGAAAGTTACATACATTTCCTTCGGAGAAGATAGCGAAGAATGCTGGTGTTATCCAATCTCAAACTATAAAAAAAAAAAAAAAAAAAAAAAAAAAGGAAAAACATTTTTTTTTAGGGGGAGGGAG